TTAAGTCTAGTTTACTCATACAAATTGTAGATAAAAATTCAATCGAGAAGGCAGTCAAATGAATTTTTGAAGATAACCCTGCAGTTACACAACACAGTACATTTCAGAAAATCATCTGACTGTCGTCCTGGTTGATTGTTTATCTGAAATTTGATATGGGTAAAAATTCATCAAAAAATTCCATAGGGAGCCGCCCCAATTGACGACGGCCGAACGGAGCCTCCTATATAAGGGGTGAATTGCACTTTTTAAGTTAGTTTGAGGACCTATTTGACTCTTTAGCCATTAAGTTATAAGTACTATTCCAGCGAATAGACAAATCTTTAGGAAAAATACAATATTTCACACGTCTATCTCTCAAGAATTATTGCCATTGCACTTTAAGTGGATTACTAGCCCAAATAAGTCTAATTTCCCCCTTCACTATATCAATAGCATTTCTTGACGCGGCTAACCCGTCTTTTACACACAAATTGAGAATATGACATGCACAACGTTGATGAAAAACCTACCAAACAAAGTAGAAGCACTACACAATTCACGCAATCTAGGTATAACACCAGTATTATTACTAGCATTATCAAAACCCATAGCAAAGACATTATCAGTCAAATTATACTCGATTAAAATACGCTCAATGAGAATATAAATATCATCGGCGGTATGTTGATCATTAAATTTACGAAAAGCAAGAACATGTTTATCCATTTCTCAATCATCATCAATATAATGTGTAGTCACACCCAAATAATAATAATACAAATGATGATGAATATCCTACCATATATTACAATATATACTAACACGCCCATTAAAGTTTGCGAAAAACATTTGTAAATTTGCTTTAACCAAACCATATTGCCCGATAACTTCTTTTTTAATCCTCCTGCGACTATAATTTCGAAATTTGGAATTTGAAGAACCTTGAGCATAAGCTTTTAATGCAAGATTTTTTCAGAAAAAACAAAAGGCAAATTTTCTTCAACAATTAAGTGAGACATATCAGTTAAATGTTTGAAATCATCATAGGTGAAATTACCATAGAGTTGGTCCGTTGCAAACCTCGATATTTGAGCTTGCTCCCCCTTGTCTTTTTCTAAATTCGCAAACCCCACGGGGTGACGGGCCATAATATGCCGTTTGGAGCCGCCGTATCCCATTGAAATCCCCAAACTAATATCTTTCTTGCAATGTTTGCAAGTTGAGTGCCAAATCTCGGTTTTTGGGTCTTTCCCCTTTACATAATTATTTTTCATAACGAGAGATTCACCTTTCTTACCGGGTTGGGATGAACCAACTTTCTCATCGCCGTGGGTGTCATTGTCCGGGGTTCCGTCATGCTCGTCCTCGGCCGTCGCCGGATCATCCTCCTCCGCATCCTCATCCTCAAGCTCTTCCTCAATGTTGGGGATGTCTTGTTGTTGGTAAAACCGCCCATGTCCTTGGGCCATAAGTTGAGCCAATTGCTCATCGAACATCGAATCTCTCCGTTGGTAATCCGTTTCAAAATTTCTCGGTTTTGAGAAGAAGACCCGATATGTCATTTACTTTTGCGTAAACTAGGATGGTTCATCCCGAACTCCTTCTTTCGGTTGCGTTGGAGGTTACCCATATCTACAGAATGTCTACCTTTTTCCATCTTAAAATGTAACAAATATTAAATTCTAAAAAATATGTTATTATGAGTACAAAAACAATGCAAGTAATAACAAATGTTATTTTTAGTAAAATCAACTAAAAATGCAAGCACTTAAAAAAATGGGAATGTAACTAATATTAGAGTATATTTAAAATGTGACTTTTATATTTAGAGTAAATTAAATAAAATTGCAACTACTTTTATGTTTTAAACTAACAAGTGTAGTAAATTAATTAAAATCCCAACTAGTTTAATAATTCAATCTAACAAGTGTAATAAAATTAACTAAAATTCCAACTAGTTTTAAAGTTTAATTAACTAAAATTCCAACAACTTTTATATTTTAAACTAAAAAGTGTAGTAAATTAACTAAAATTGCAACTAGTTTAATACTTCAATCTAACAAGTATAATAAAATTAACTAAAATTCCAACTACTTTTAAAGTTTAATTAACTAAAATTCCAACTACTTTTATATTTTAAACTAAAAAGTGTAGTAAATGAACTAAAATTGCAACTAGTTTAATAATAAAATTAACTAAAATTCCAACTAGTTTTAAAGTTTAATTAACTAAAATTCCAACTACTTTTATATTCTAAACTAACAAGTGTAGTAAATTAAATAAAATTGCAACTGGTTTAATACTTCAATCTATACAGTGTAATAAAATTAACTAAAATTCCAACTAGTTTTAGAGTTTAATCAACTAAAATTCCAACTACTTTTATATTTTAAACTAACAAGTGTAGTAAATTAACTAAAATAACAACTAGTTTAATACTTTAAATCTAACATTTTTTATGGCCCGGGCTGGGTACCGGGCCAGGCAGACTGGGGCCGATCCACCGTTAGGGAGAAGTTGGCCCTGTGCATTTTTTATACTGTATTATTTTTAGGACTCCTCGATGATGAGGCTTTTGCACCGGCGTGGCTTCACCGACGGTACTCCTGTGGCGGTGAGATTGCCAGTGAGTTTATTTGAAGACACCCAAATTCCAATCCAATTCTCCATCGGATGATTCATTGAGTTGATAAGAAAAATGAAGACAAGTTGCAGGGGTCAAAACCTGGTAATTCACATAGAGCCACAACTCCAAAAAGGGTACCGTTTGGACGGAAAATGGGAAAATGGGGTTATGTAAAGGGTATATTAGGATTTGTATATTAACGTGGCCGTACATAATAAACATGTGGCCCGGTATAGAATTTCCCTATATATATATACTCCATTTGTCCCATTTATATTGTCCCAGTTCTTATTCACTTGATCAACACAAATCACTCCTAATTTCTTACTTTATATATAAAATTTTATCAAATTTGATTCAGGTTTTTGCGACTTTGTAAAGCTTTAAATGTAGTTTCTGAATATGTGATTTTTCCCCCTAAAAATAATATGAGTGCGGACAAGGATCTGTTTGCTTTATCGTCGGTCAAACATCGTAAATTGTAAAGGAACAATATAAATGGGACGGAGGCAGTAGTTTAAATCGTTCTTTAGAAACTGGCCCAGTGCAAATATAAAAGGGAAAGTTCCCGAAATAGGACTAAAAAAGTTTGGAAATTCCAAAATAGGACTATCATGTTTTTATTCCCAAAATAGGACTATTTACTGCCAAGTTTAGAAAATACTGTTATATTTAAAGTCTGGCACTGCCAAAACATAACAGTAATTAGTCCTATTTTGGGAATAAAAACATGACAGTCCTATTTTGGAATTTTCAAACCTTTTTAGTCCTATTTTGGGTAATATATCAATATAAAACAGGCCCGGTGTACAAGCATAATGGCTTCTTAGAAGCTGTTCTCTTCGCCTGATCTGAATGTTTCTGATCTGAATTTTTTAAGTTCTGATCTGATCTGATCTGAATCTTTCTGATCTGATCTGATCTGAATCTTTCTGATCTGATCTGATCTGAATCTTTCTGATCTGATCTGAATGTTTCTGATCTGGTCTGATCTGATCTGAATGTTTCTGATCTGATCTGAATCCTTCTGATCTGATCTGAATCTTTCTGATCTTATCTGATTTGAATATTTCTATAATTATAATTATAATTATAATTATAATTATAATTATAATTATAATTATAATTATAATTATAATTATAATTATTATAATTGCAATTACAAATATAATTTAAATAAAATTATAATTATAATCGTAACTATAAAAATAAAAATAATAATAATAATTAAAATTAAAATTAAATTTAAAATGAAAAAATTTATACTTATTACACTAATTATAAATATAGATATAATTATAATTGTAATTATATTTTTAATTATAATTACTTATATAATTATAATTGTAATTATAATTACAATATTTATCTCTATAATTGTAACTATAGTTATCAATATTATTATAATTACTCTGTAAAATAATTACAATAGTAATAATAATAATAATAATAATAATAATAATTATAATCATAAATTATAATTAGAAGTATAATTATAATTATTATATTTATAATTAATTATAATTATAATTATATTAACATTAATTATAATATTATAATATAATAATAGTAATATAAATACAATTAATATTATAATAATGATATTATTATATTCATATTATTATTACAATAATATAATAATAATATGATTATTATTATTATAATTAGTATTATATTATTATAATATTATATTATAATTATAATTATAATCATAATTATAATTATGATTGTAATTATAATTATAATTATTATAATTATAATTAATTACAATTATAATTATAAATATTTATAGATATAATTATAATAAATACAATTGATTATACTTATAATTATAAGAATTATAATTGTAATTATAATTATAATTACATATAATTATAATATAATATTATATTAACATTAATCATATTATTATTATTATTATTATATTGTAATAATAATAATAATAATAATAATAATAATAATAATAATGATAATGATAATAATAATGATGATGATGATGATGATGATGATGATGATGATGATGATGATGATGATGATGATGATAATAATAATAATAATAGTCTTCTTAATAATTACATTTATATTACTATTATTATATTAAAATATTATAACTATTATTAATATCTTATTTTTGTTATCATATTATTATTAATATTATTAATAATAATTATATAATAATAATAATAATAATAATTGTAATAACAATATTAATAATAATAATTAATATAATAATAAAAGTGATAAATCATGTTTGAACTTTTCTGATCCGATCTGATCTGAATGTTTCTGATCTGATCTGAATGTTTCTGATCTGGTCTTATCTGATCTGAATCTTTCTGATCTGATCTGAATCTTTCTGATCTGATCTGATCTGATCTTAATTTTTCTGATCTGATCTGATCTGAATTTTTCTGATCTGATCTGATCTGAATAAAATAAGAATAAGCAATAAGTAATAAGAATAAGACGAAAAACACCTAATTGTGTAAAACAGTCCAAGCTTTTTATTTTTTTTAAAGTAATGTAAGAAAAAGAATCGCAGCGGCCAAGCCAAAGACGGGCATCACCGCATGACCGCATCCATCACTGCGATTCAACCTGACGCACTCACGCACGTCTCAGCGGCTCAGCCAGCACCGCCGAATCGCTGGACGTCTCCGACTCGCCGTCTACTCGCCGACTGCTCTCTTCCTCTCTCTTGAGTGCTTGGCTGGTGCCTTCTTCTCTATTGGACTACATTCTCGACACAGTCAATTTGGCGTTTCTCCTCTCTTCAAGCTCACTGCTTCTTCTCGTTTGCGCCGGCCAAGGTAAGTTTTTTTTTTTTAAATTTTTTTTTTTACAATTTTTAGATTAATTAAGTATTTTATTTGTTAAATTAGTTTGTGTTAGTGACTTAGTGTGTCACAATTGATTTGTGTAATTGTGCACTTCGAATTGTGAAATAGAAAATTAGGAATGTCAAATGTGATTTGTGATTTTTAAAATTATTAATATGAATTATATGAATTAAAATAAAACATTGATTAGTTTTTTATTTATTTTTTGGTAATTCTAGTTGGTTTGGCTACTCAATCTACTTCCCAATAGGCAAAATCACATTGCATTCGTTTTATAACCCTGGAGGACGCCTAGTACAAGCACACAAAGTAAACAAGAGTTAAATGTCTCAATTGAAACTCCTAATATCTCATCCGCTCAAGAGGAAGTAGTTTTTGATGTACTTGAAATTGAGTGGGATCCGGGAAAACGCAAAACGATAAGTGATTAGCCGTTAGAGAAAAGAGATGAAATTAGACGATCTTATTTGATGCTTGGACCTTATCAACCGAAATTGAACTTTTACAAAGGCCGACTTTACAAAGATAGGATACGTCGTTTTCAAGCCACTTGGTTAAATGAATTTAATTGGTTGGAATACTCTCAACAACACATAAGGCATATAGTTTCAAACATTGTATGTATTGTATAAAAATATAGTACTATGAATTTTAATGGATTTTAATCATTATGCTCACACTATTGTCGCTTCTAAAATTTTTATATAATGTTTTTAGAATTTTAGTGTATAATTGTCCCAGGGTAAACATCTGTACTGGCTACGCCCCTGCTCGAAGCCATGGGAGAACCGGTGAAAGGGACGGTGACATCACTCTCCTCACTAATTCCGGTGGATGAAGCTCAGAAAGCATTGCAGCGTGTGCACGAAGCCGTCGCCGAGCGGCGGAAACAGATGGATCAGCTAAACGGCTTCGTCGCTGAAAACAGAAGCCTCATCGATCTTGTTCAGCGTCTTCCCGACAAACTCCACCACGACATCATGGCAAGTTATTATTTGTATATATATCTGTTCCCGTTATATCCTATATATTGTGGATGCACTTTGAATGTGTGGGATGTTTTGTTTTTGTATTTTAGGTTCCGTTTGGGAAGGCTGCATTTTTCCCTGGCCGATTGATTCATACCAATGAATTTATGGTACCTATTTTTATAATCCTAGGTTCCTAGGACTTTTCTGGTCAGCATATATTTGCATCGAGATTCAAGATGTTATGGGTTCTTTCAATCATGGTAGGTACTCTTGGGAGAGGGTTATTATGCTGAAAGATCATCCAAACAGACCTCTGAAATTTTGACCAGAAGGGGTAAGGATTTGGAGTCCCAAGTTCAACATCTAAAAGCTGTAATGCAGGACCTTGAGGCTGAAGCTTCATTTTTTGATAAAACGGCTTCAGAGTCAGCGGTAAGCCTTTGTATCATTACAGTCTCATTAAACAGTGATGCAATCCTTCTGTTGGCCTAACTAATAGAATTAAGTAATTTAAAATAACTATTGTGGATTTGAAAGGAATGAACAATAGTAATTCCTGTCTGGTCTTCTAATGGTGAGAACTGATAATCATACTACGTACTTAGTTTCCACTTTAAGAGTTTCAAGAAAATTTCAACAGGAAGGTCTTGTAGAGATCAGGGAAGACATTGTTGAGGAATCTTCTTATAGAAAGCCAGCCACACCAGGCAAGTTTTCTCATGATTTTAAATGCCATATCTTAATTCTTATTATGTTTCTGATTATTTAGTAGAGTTTCACTGAATTTAATTTGTGTTTTTGACTAATTACCTGGGTGTAGGGAAGTTTACTCTTGGCTCATATTTTAGTACTTCACTATTTTCTGTCACACTTTCAAACACTATAGAATTTTATTCTAGACACCATATTCCAACTTCCAAGAGTATATTCCAACTTTGTATATATGTATTACAAGGCTAGCTCCCCCCTTCCAGACAAAAGATAGTATGCAGTGTGATAAACAACCCTGGCAAAGATTCTTATAATTATAACTGGGCCATGGTGCATTCAGCTTGGCCATCGGACCCAGTCCAGTAAGAAAGCGGACCCCTCATATCTTCAATTAGCCCATTTGGCCCATCATAGGATGCGTGAGGAGCAGTTTGAGGCCTGACTCATGGTGGACCAAGTCCAGCTCAGTGTTTGAGGCGGCAAAGATCTCCATTACAACTGCAATATATATCAGATTCCTAATTCGTTATGTAACTAATATGACAGTATCCTAGTGTACTAGTTTAAGTAATGAAAGTTAAGATCTATTATATTAGATGAATCTATGCCTATAAATAGTGCATGCCTCTCCCAAAATTTTATCGTACGAACTATAAAATTTATAGCTCATAATAGCAAAACAAGTTTTCTTTCAAATACAAACTAATGCGTACTACTTTCTTAGTTCCTAGCAACACAAATTTTCTCCCAAATATTCTTACATAGTCTAATATGATTCTTTAATTGCCTTCAATGTTTCCAGGGGTCTCAAACATGGACTCTAGTAGTTTTCCTAAAGAAGAAGATGCTACACAAAAATTTAAAGACGAAGAATATGCTCAAATATTAGCTCGGATTGCTGAACTTGAGAAAGAAGAGGAAGAAGCTGAAAAGGCCAATGAAATTAGTGAGGATGAATCTGGAGAAGCCATCCAAATGGGAAATTCAGAGGTAAATTATATAGTAGGCATGACATGACAAAACTGAGGGGTTCACTTAATCATATCAAAGTCTTGAAGCATTCCATTTATCCTCTGTCTCTCTTTCTATTTTTCCCTATTAGGTGTGTGGTTTGAGTAACATGACAAAAGCAGTAACTTCTTTAAGAACAGAGTCAAATGAAGTTATAATGGCAGCTTCAAGAAATCATGATCTTTCGAAAGTAAGGAACACCTCACTGCTATCCAATTTGCCTAGGTTAATTGTCCCCTGAGTTATATATACTTTTTCATTTTCATTTTCAATTTACCCCAGTGCCGCAAAGGCTCCAACCTACGGTGGAGTTATATATACTTCTATTAAAATAATTAGTTAATATGTGAAATTTCAAAGTGCAGGCAGAAGGTTCAAATGGACAAGCTCAACTACCTAAAGGTTAGTCATGCTATCAAGTAGAGAAAATAAACACACACCAAAAACACCTGCCTGGTCGCAAATGTTTCTATTTCAAGAACCTTTTTTTTTTTGTCTAAAAGAGTGGTTTTAGAGTCAAGTTCAAAATTTTGAGAAAAATTCCTGTAAACCCAATAAAGTGGTTTTATTCACTTACTCTCATCAGACCTTGCGGCACTTATAAGGAGCGGTAATTAATAAAAAGCTGCACCTTGCGGCTTACTAGAACATGACTCTTTTTTGGATGGGAGTACATGAAATCCACAAGTAGCTGAGCTTGAACACAAAACCAGTGACATAATAGTGTCGCATGGAACACGATAAATGCTTGAACACGTTAAATCTTTTTTGGGTGACATTATCACACGTAATCCCAATTATACAGGATTTTTGTGCACAAAATGAAATGGTATCCCTTTAATTTCTTTATGGTTTCTCCGATAAATAAAGCCCCATTTATTAACTTCATCACAGGTGAGTACTTTCATGAAGAATGCTTGCCATTTTGTCAAACAAGCTCAACTAGTGTTGCTCCAAAGCTTCCTGTACTGAAGGACAATATAGCTGTGTTGGAAAGCAAGGTATCATGCAACTGTCCATATGTCCCTTCCCATCACTCTCATTTTTCTTCTCTGTTCCTTAGAATTGGTGACTTGGTGTAATCTGAAAATGTCAGTTACACACATAGATGTCATTTTAAATTTTTTATTTCATGCCATTAACACTAGAGCTAATCACCATACTCAGAGTCTCCAGTATATAACATAAAGAAAACATGGCAGAAAACTTGACCATTCTGTCAATTGCTAGTCAGAAGAATATTTATCCTTTGGATCCCACTATAGTTGCATTTCACAGAAGTGTATTAGAGCATGTTGGATATGATTTGGGGTTGGGCCAAAAGTGCGTCTACACTTCAAAATGATGTCTGTGTGATATTCTTAAAAGTGCTTTTTAAAAGTATAAAAACATTAAAAACTTTAAAAAGTACTTATTGTCGGAAAGCTAACCGTTTTTAGATAAATATTTCTTTTGGAAACTCCAATAAAAATAATGGGTACTATATAGCAAATATTCTATACTGTTTTTAGCATCATCAAGAGCACTTCTTAAAGCCCGGTTTTACATAAGGACATCGAAACGAGACATAAGATGTCAGCAATTCTGTCGCATTGTCGAGATTACAATGTAGTAATGACTGCATTTTGTTTTCCCAATTACAAAGCCTTAAACTGTATAGCTATATACTGTATACACACATGATGATTGATTGGTGAAGTACATTGTTTGCAGCAGGCGGCAGTAAACAGAACTGAAGAACACTTTGATGCTAGCAAGGTATGTCCACTGACTCGCGCAAGACCTTTTCTGATATTAGTATTAATTGATTATTTGATTATATACTCATGGTCTGTATATGAGCTGAGAGTGTTAATGTGCAGGCTTTTACTGGTTCTATCGTGGAACATTCGCCCAACATTGATATGCAACCTAGTGTTGGTCGTGCCTCAAAGCCAGTATCTAGATTCAAGATGCAGAGGAAGTGACTATGGGAGTTTGGGCATATGAGTAGTTTATTTAACCTCCCACACAGTGGAGGAGCTAGGGAGGGGCATGAGGGGGCAAGCGCCCCCGCTTCGGGCAATTGTTTTTAGTACTATTAGTTATAATATATTTAATGCCCCTCGATTTTTTTTCAAAATAAATATCAATTAAGGATAATTTTAGATTAAGTGTTGAAATAAAAGGCAAAGTCTTTTGGTAAATGTACGTGTCTCTAGAAATACAAGTATTGGTTGCAGCATACCACAGTCACTTGAATGCAAATGTGGATTGTTGTAGACATTTAATGACACATGAGTTGGCTTTTCGTGGTTATAGTGAGCAAGAAAGTGTTGATTTTGACGAATATGTTGTCACAATTCTTGTAACAAAGATATCAAAACATTCTTGAGACTTTGTTGGATTCCCTCCTTAGTGGAGAAATTCATGATTGTTTTAGAATTTTTAGAGATGTCCAAGTTTCTATATATGTGTGTAGAGAGGTATTGAATGTTTTAGAATAATATTGTGGAGTTTTCTAGAGAAGTGTGGAACTCACTAAAATCGTGTGGAAGCTTCTGTAACATTTTGAAAAATTGTGGGGTTTTCTAAATCCTTCTAGAAGATAAGACAAATTTGTGAATATTTTTTGGAAAAACCTAGATATGTAGTGGTGTATAAAAAATTCTAGAGAAACTTTGATGAGATTAGTATAGAGAAGCTTCCCATTTATATGAGAACTTTGAGAAGAGCTTTTGAGTGAGTGAAAGTGAGTCTCCTTGAAAGAGGAGAATGAGAGCCTTCTTGTGAGAGAAGAAGGTTCAAAGATTTCGCTTGATTAAGTTTGGTTAAGTGAAGTAGTCTCATATACAAAAAGTGATTGATGATAATACAAGTGATATTGTCAGATGAGTCTTTGTATTATGAGTGTGTGTATATATACGTGTACAAGAGTCTATGAGCTTGTGATCCTGGAAAAGTCTGGGGGCCGTGTTTTTCTAACATAAAGTTATTTTACAACATTTTGAACAAATTAAAACTCGTATGATTGATGTACCGTGATTATAGATATGAGTCAAGCTGTATGTAATGAACTAATTTGTGCTAATGTATTACACTTTTATAGTTTTTATTATATTTTGAGCAAATACACAAAATTTTTAACCTTTAGTATGTCCCTCGTTCGAAAAATCTCTGGCTCCGCCAGTGCTCTCACATGATCAGTCGGGAGAATGGGTGATAGATTATCTGTGGAGGTGCTAGGAATGTACGGTTGACTGTCAAAAATAGACATAAGTTGAAGGTCAGCGCACCCCCATTTAGATATGTCGGCCTGTACAAACTATGTAGATGCATCTGTGTTTCAAAATCATTGTCTTAGTGGAGATTTGTTTTATTAGTTAGGATATTTTTCCTGAAAATTTTTGGTCTATTTTGGTGTTTTTTAATTTTGGTTTTATGTGTATTTTACTAGTGTTTAAGACGGGCTAACCGCTAACCTGTTTAAGTTTGATCTCGTCGGGTCATTTATCCTATGTCAAAGGTTATTTCTGGGGAAAATTGGTTTTTGCTCCCCAAGTTCATCAGAGTTCCCACCCCATGTTTTAAATAAAATCTAAGGTGGCACACCATTACGTTTGTGTTAAGGAGCTCAAGAGTTGGACGCAATATCCAATTTCGATGTGAACATGGTTGCAAAAACAATTTTTCCCTATTTGTTGGCTGTGATAAATCACGGACTTTTTGGCATTTAAAGTATTCTTTTCAAATAATAATAATAATAAAAAAAAACAATGGTGTAGTGCGAACTAAACGGTTTTGGAACATTGAGTTTAATCTTATTCTATGTGGACCATAAGCATTTGTAAAGGAAGAGAATAATTGAATATCTACCTAAAACTATAGGGTAGGGTGAATACTCTGTCGCGCTCATAAGCCATAGCTAACCAGTAATGTGTTCCATTAATGGATACTGTTTTAGCAAATAGACAAGTTATTTATCAATGATAAAAATAACAAGAAATAAAATAATACAATAGTCTAATTTAAGGGTACACTCGTATGAGACATGTAATTGAAAAGCCAAGGATGAATTGGATTTGCTAATCCAACATTTATGTAGTTCAAACTAACAACGTAGTTGAACTTACTACTCCAATAATAATTAAAATAACACAACTTGTCCTTAAAAGGAGATAAATAAATTAATTCAAGCATTCCGACTTTACCCGCCACCAAAAAGGGAGAAAAGATTTGACTAGTAGCCTTCAAAAAAAAACTTCAATTCTCATGCTCTGTCAGAGTTCTAGGTGCTCATGCTCTATCATGAGCATTAGTAATGTTCTCCATATATACAAATACTTGCTGGCTATTGGGATTGGAAAATTCTTTTATTCAATACCAAGAACAGAATTACAATAGGAGGAGCAAACTCTCACACCCAACTATTACAAAAAAACAATCCTCACCAATACACTTCTACTCTAAGTGTATTTTCACTCTTCACACACTTTTCTCACTTTCTAAACTGATGATATGAACAACAATAGAACACTCTATTTATAGGGCTATTTGGAGACAAGGGGAGGTTGCATCCAAGCTTCCATAGTTATCTCCATATCTTCTCCCATGCTCATATGTTGGAGAGCTCCTTCCTAGAAGGTGTGAGATGCCTCTTAGCAACTTCCAAGAAAGAAGGTGGAAGATACCTACAAATCTCCCCCTCCACCTTTTTCTTTATTTCTCTCGTTCCTGCGATGCTCGCAGGCTCCCCCTCGCTAGAACAAGTATCCATTCGGATGTGGAATACTTTCTCTGTGGAACTATGCCTCGCATAGAACGTCGAACATGAGTACCTTCAGCTTCGTCTTCAGATGAAGGCTCCCCCTGCTGAGGAATCATCACCGTGAGTATCATCATCACCTGCTGAACCATCACTCTCTTGTTCAGTAGAATCATGCATCTCCTCGTCGCTGAGAGAAATGTTTGATGATACATACACTTCGTCTTCTAGAGTATGTTGTTGGCGGATTATTGGAGCACACTCATGAAACTCGTTTTCATGAAATACAACATCTCTGCTTCGTACAACTTTCTTCAATTCGGGATCCCACAACCGGTATCCGAATTCTTCATCACCATACCCGATGAAGATGCATGGGTTTGACCTGAGATCAAGCTTCTGTCTCAACTCCTTGGACACATGTGAAAATGCCTTGCACCCGAACACTTTCAAGTGAGAGTAAGAAACATCTCTTCTTGACCATTTCTTTTCTGGCACTTCAAAGTTTAAAGGAACAGAAGGTGACCTGTTTATAAGATAACAAGCTGTCAGCACAGCTTCACCCCAGAATGGCTTAGGTAGTTTAGCCATACTCAGCATGCAACGAACTTTCTCCATAATGGTCCGATTCATTCTTTCGGCTACACCATTGTGTTGCGGAGTTCGTGGAACCGTCTTCTCATGTCTGATTCCATATGCGGCGCAATATACTGAGAACTCTCGGGAAGTGTACTCTCCTCCATTGTCTGAACGTAGACACTTCAACTTCTTCCCTGTTTCTCTTTCTACCATGACATGAAATAATTTGAAGCGATCAAACACTTGATCCTTACTCTTCAAACAATAAGCCCATACCTTTCGTGATGCATCATCAATGAATGTCACGAAGTATCTGCTTCCTCCAAGTGACTCCTCTTCAATGGGTCCGCATACATCAGAGTGTACAAGACTGAGTAACTCTGAATGGTTCTTCCTGGTAGAACTGAAGGAAACCCTGTGTTGTTTCCCGAATATATAGTGCTCACATGGATCTAGGGCAACACCTTTGCCCATGGAAATGACTTCCTTCTTTGCAAGAGTTGTCTTCACGCTCAAGTGGCCTAGCCTTCGGTGCCACAAGTTTAGTGATATCTCTTCTTCAACAACATTGAGACTCGGATGACATAACTTTGCATGAGTTTTATAAAGAGTACCACAAATATGGCCTCTTGCAACAACCAAGGAACCTTTAGATAACTTCCACATACCTTCTTTGAATCGGTTAAGATATCCTTGCTGATCCAGAGCTGTACCGGAGATGAGATTCAATCTAAGATCCGGGACGTGTCGAACATCTTTCAACACAAGTGCGCATCCAACATTGGTTGTTATGTGCACATCACCAATGCCGACAATCTTCGAGAAACAAGTGTTTCCCATCTTCACAGCTCCAAAGTCTCCTGACTTATAAGATGTGAATAAGTTCTGGTGTGGAGTAGCGTGAAATGATGCGGCTGTATCAATCACCCACTCAACATCATGAGTACCTACGTGTAAACATTCTTGTTCACCATGTGTAACAAGACACACGTCTGATGACAAACTAACCATGGTCTCACCATCTTCTTAGCTAGTATTTTGACTCGTCTGTGGCTGCTCTCGTAGAAACTTTCTACAATCTCTTTTTCTGTGCCCATAATTACTACAGTAATTGCAATATCCTTCAAACCAAGTACTGTTTTCAAAGGACATACCTCTCTCTTGTGATCTGCCGCGAACTTGAGAATTTCCTCTGTTTTGACCTTGGCCTTTACCTCGACTTCAACTTCTTCCTCCATTTCTGCCTCCCCCTCGTCTGCTGGTTTCTGACACGAAGGCATATGATTGTTCAGTCCCGGCTTCTTTTCTTCGGGCTTCTTCATTCATCAGGGCATCTGTGACCGTCTGCATAGTCACCTTCCCATTTGGAGCAGAATTACTGAGAGTGACAACAAGAGTCTCCCAGCTGTCAGGTAGAGAGCTCAAGAGTAGTATCGCCTGCTCTTCATCTTTGAGAACCCATCTGGTGGTGCTCAGCTGATTCACAAGATCCTGGAATTGATTGGTGTGTTCTGAAACTGAAATACCTCATCGTAACTCGTGGTTTACTAATCTACTCATTAGTAACGTCTTATTTCGGGCGGTTTTTGCTTGATACATGCTACCAAGCTTCTCCCATAGTGTGTAAGCACTTTGTTTTTGCTTGATCTATCCACTGTCGAATTTGTGCGACAGTTTTTCGATTCATTTTTGTTCATTCTTCATCCGTCTTTTTATCCGGTTTCACGCCATTATTATCAAGAGGATCGGCTAAATCCCTCAAATTTAGCAAATCCTCCATCCGAGGCTTCCACATATTGTAATTTGTAGAAGTGAGCGCAATCATGGTGTCCGATGATGATTTATCCATAATAAAACGCTCAAAATATCTCGTACCTTATTTTCGGAGCCGAATTTGGACAAACGGAGCTCGCCGTTGGATCCGGAATGGCCGAAAATGGTAGGAACCGGTCTGACCTCGTCCAAAACCGGTCTAAAAATGGGTGAACCGGCCTCCACAACTACGAACCGGTTCGGTCCGGTTCAGGCAGCATACCAGTGGGCAGATCAGCAGGCGGATGACGTGGCAACAGCTGGACTGCGCCGGCGCTGACGTGGCACCACATGGCCGA